TTCCAATCAAGTTGTAGAAACATCTCAAGCATGATCAATGGAAACAGGATGCACCTGAGCTCAATTTCGAGTCTCATAGCAAAGGGTCTGAGTACTTAAGTAAATAAGGTATTTCTGTTTTTTATTTTGAACAAATTTGCATAAACTTCAAAAAATCTGTTTTCGCTTTGTCATTATGGGGTATTGTGTGTAGATTGATGAGGAAAATATTTTATTTAATCTATTTTTGAATAAGGCTGTAACGTAAAAAAAATATGGAAAAAGTCAAGGGGTCTGAATACTTTCCGAATGCACTATACATACTGAAAAAAAATATAAACGCAACATGTAAAGTGACAATGAAAGCAGACATTTTCCATACGCACAAAAAGCTTCTCTCAAATGTTGTGCACAAATTAGTGAGCATTTCTCCTTTGCCAAGATAATCCATCCACCTGACAGGTGTGGCATATCACAAAGCTGATTAAACAGCATGATTATTACACAGGTGCACCTTGTGCTGGGGACAATAAAAGGCCACTCTTAAATGTGCAGTTTTGTCACACAATGCCACAGATGTCTACATTTAGAGGGAGCGCTCAATTGGCATGCTGACTGCAGGAATGTCCACCAGAGCTGTTGCCAGAGAATTGAATGTTCATTTCTCTACCATAAGCCGCCTCCAACGTTATTTTAGAGAATTTGGCAGTACGTCCAACCGGCCTCACAACCGCAGACCACGTGTAACCACGCCTCCACATCCGGCTTCTTCACCTGCGGGATCATTTTTAAAGCCTCAAAGGATAAGATGATCCAACTTTCAAAACAAGTACTTTTTGGCTAGCCACAGCAGTCAACTAGCTAGCTAGGTAGCTGTTTAGCTTTCTAGCACATTCACAAATGTTTGTAAACAATTAAGAAGCTAGTTAGCTCCCACATGTTCTTGTCAAACTGTCAACAGAGTAGTTAGCAAGCAACAAGATAACAGTCTAAAAACAGCTTGAGTGCAAATTAATCCGATTTGACCGTTTAGACAAGTCACATGGCCAGGATTCAGATTTGTATCCGACTTCAAACCACCTACGAAAGTGGTTTGAAATTTGGCTTGAAATATCTGAATGCATTTGCTTTTTGGCTGTTCAGACTGCAGGAAAAATAACAGATTAGAATCGGATATGCAAAAAATTTTTATTTGAGTCACTTCAAACTGCCAGTGTGAACACGGCTTTAGAGACTTACCCAAAAAGACTCACAGCTGTAATCGCTGTAGGTGTGTGTGAATGTGTGGGTAGAGACCTGTGAGTGTGCATAGAGTCAGTGTAGATAGTCCACAGCTGGGGGGTGGGCAGATATAGTTGAGCTGTTTAACAGTCATTGCTTTGGGATAGAATCCTTTTGGGCCGAGACCCGATGCTCTGGTACCGCCTGCCGGACGGTAGCAGAGAACAGTCTACGGCTGCAATTTTTTCGGGCCATCCTGACACCCCCTGGTATGAATGTCCCCAGTGATGTGCTGGGCAGCCCACACCACCCTCTGTAGAGACTTGCGGTCAAAGGCGGTGCAATTGCCATGCAGTGATGCAGCCAATAAAGATGCTCTCGATCGTGCATCTGTAAAATGTATTGAGGATCTGAGAGGCCATGCCTCCTGAGGCAGAAGAGGCACTTCTGCCGGTGTGTGTGTGTGTGTGTGTGTGTGTGCTGGAAGGATGCATCTCTGTGTGTTTATGCATGCATGTTCAAGTGCTTGTGGGTATGTGAGTGGGTTGGTATGTGTGTTGGTGTGTCTATCCATTATCTATACCTATTATACAGTGTACAAAACATTAGGAACACCTGTGCTTTCCATGACATAAACTGACCATGTGAAAGCTATGATCCCTTATTGATGTCATTTGTTAAATCCACTTCAAATCAGTGTAGATGAAGGGGAGGAGACCAGTTAAAGACTGATTTTTAAGCCTTGAGACAATTGAGACATGGATTGTGTATGTGTGCCATTCAGAGGGTGAATGGGTAAGACAAAATATTTAAGTGCCTTTGAATGGGGTATGGTAGTAGGTGCCAGGCGCACTGGTTTGAGTGTGTTAAGAACTGCAATGGTGCTGGGTTTTTCACGCTCAAAAGTTTCCCATGTGTATCAAGAATGGTCCACCACCCAAAGGACATCCAGCCAACTTGACACAACTGTGGGAAGCATTGGAGTCAACATGGGACAGCATCCCCCTTGTAGTCCATGCCCCGACGAACTGAGGCTCATCTGAGGGCAAAAGGGGGTGCAACTCAATATTAGGAAGGTGTTCCTAATGTTTTTCCGCTCAGTGTATATGGCCAACTGTGAACTTTAACACCTTCTCACAAAGCAACTGTCTTTGATGATGCAGAGGTTGTTGATTCTGCTCTCCCCAAGTTCTTAGTGTCACACTCCTAATGGAAACACAATTACACTAGAGTTAACATTAACATAAAACACTGGCGACACCCTGGTGTGGGTGCAAGTCTCCATGGAAATACAACATTAGAGACCAGGGCCCAGTTTTCCAAAAGCATCTTAAGGCTAAATTCATCGTTAGAACCTTTGTAGGGACATCGTTAAATCTCTGAGCTGTTTCCCAAAACCATTGTTACTAAAGTTGCACTTGAAAACACTCGTTATTTACCGACTGCCTCAGACCACTCGTAGAACAGCTAAGTGTGTCATTAGATGCGTTTTTTCCCTACCGCGTCACTTTATACACAGAAGATCACCGCTAAACATAGAATCAAGATGTTTTTCTCTCTGTGACTGCAGATAACTTCACAACAAAGTTGACTACAAATAAAGTTGCCAGTGTCTTTAAAATTGTTACAAACAAGCCAAGGATAAAAATATGCTTCAAATGAAGACCCAGATGACTGCATTAAAAGATAAATAGCCGACCTACAGCTACATAGGCCTATATACTGTATTTCAATGATATTGAAATCAATTTCCTGTTCATTCAATTTAGTTTTAGTTTGCTATTTGGCTACTGTCTAATTTCTGCCTCAATATATTTCATGATGTGTAGCCTAACAAATCCAGGGTTCGTACAGACAGTGGCAAGTAAAATTCAAGGACTTTCAAGTACTTTTTCAAATCGCTAATATTTATTTTCAAGGACCATCAATTTGTAATAGTTCCTATTATGCAATTGTTTCTAGTCGCAACAGATGGCAGTATATCGCCACAACCTCACAGAGAAAAAAAACAACGTACTATTCATCACTACCTTTTAAGTTCTACTCAAAAATATGTGTTTACTATATACAGTGGGCTCCAAAATTACTGGCACTCCTGACTGGCAATGCACAAACAATACTTAAAAAAATATAAACAATATAATTATAGAGATAAACGCAAAATACCAACATGTGAGAAATACTGTACTTTATTAATGGAACCAACCAAAACCATACAATTATTTAATAAAAAATAAATGTCACCAAAATCAAGGTTTCATAATTATTGGCACTCCTCATTTAGTACTTAGTGCAACCACCTCTGGCAAGGATAACAGCATGGAGTCTTTTCCTGTAACGTTTGACAAGGTTAAGGAACACACGGGGGGGGGGGGGGAATGCATTTGCGTCCTCTACCCGTGAGGTTTTCAACTGTTCCATATCTTTTAATAATTGCCCTAACAGTGCTCAGTGGTATATTCAATCGTATGTGGATCGTCTTGTAGCCATTACCAGATTTATGAAAGTCTACGACCATCTGTGTCTTTTGAACTGCCAGTTCTTTTGTTTTCTTCATGGTGTTGGATGACAAAGGGATATTGCATGCATGTTACCTCATTTTTATACCCTAGTGAAACAGGAAGTGATGTAATGGCTCAATATAGTTCCTTAAGAATTAGATAAACTTACATAAGTGGAATTTAATTCCTGGTTTAATTTTGTTATTTACAAATCTTTAAGGGTGCCATTATTTGTGAAACCTTGATTTGGAGGACATTGATTTTTAATTGAATCAATAGATTATTTTGTTTACATTTTTTAAAGTAAGTAATTTTGGAGCCCACTGTCCATGAGTAGTGGTAAGTCAGTACTGATGATGTTGACTGATTTCCTTATTTGAACTGTAACTCAGTAAGAATTTTGAAATTGTTGCATGTTGTGTTTATATTTTTGTTCAGTGTATATAATATAAAATTGTCTTTATATTTAAATTGTCTTTATATTTCACAAAATGTTTGGTCCCACAGGCTGACCCCACACAATGACATTAAAGATAATTCTGACAGTGTAAAAGCCTCTTAGTTTCGATAAGATTAAAGATTCTCTCTGGGGACCCTATTTCAATTTTAGAGAGGCCCACATGGGTCCTGAAATCTAAGGTTGGGAACCACCGTACTACGAACCTCTCTCCCTGCTTGGTTCAATGCCTTCTCTCTCTGTGTAGCTCCTTTGCCTCTTTCATTGCAGCCTGACTTACCACTGTCTGTCTCACTACTCTCTGTAAAGAAAAGGTATTCTATTATGAGAACTTCTAGTAGTGCATATTTTGATTATAGCTTAATATCAGTCAACTGCTCCTGCGGAGGTCAGGCTCTGTTCAATGTTAGCTTCTAACTTCATCTTTCTAGCCAGCTAGTTATAGCTAGCTACCTGGCTAATAGCCAGAGCCCTTGAGCTACCTAGCTAGACATCCAACTGAAATATCGGCGACTATTTACCAGTTGTACACTCATTCGAGAGTCAGGGGGTTTTTGTTTGGAGGATGTCCCTTGACACGGCAGGAGTTGAGGGATGTTAAAATAATTCCCACTGTCGACGGTATCTCTCTGTCACTTGGCACTGTATGTCTGGGCTGAGATAGATCGTGTCAACTCTCGACCTAAATCGTGGGTGGAGTTTCCCGTTGGACAAAGTGGTGAATGAATGCGTTGGCGTAACATAACGAGGATACATTAATCTTGATTTAGAGCATTATTAAAGGGGAAGCATTAGAATAAGCCATCTCAAGATTTGCAGCCATAGGTGATAATCTCTCTAGCAGCTGATCCAAGAGCAGCACTTCCTTTTTTCTCTTGATCCTATCAGTATCCACACATGCCTCAACAACGCACTTAGTGAATGTTCTCTCTCTGTGGTGTATTGGGAAACACATATTACATCTTCGGCCATTGAAGGAAAGTTAGATACATTGTTAAAACACTTGTAAGCCTAAATTCCATCGCTATCAGGAAACCAGGCCCTGACTGTTTTTATTGGCGCCAAGCCACAACCATTAAATCACTAGTCCTGCAGTGAAACACCATCATTGTTTCAATGAGAGCTCTGGTGAGTAAGATGTTCAGTGTATTTATTACATATGGCAAGTCAACTTGGAACTTGGGTATTGTATGACTGGCATTCCATGATGGTCAGGGATTAAATTGATCATGTGCGTGTACCATAGACGGACAAGTTGGTGGCCTGTAGCTGACATAAAAAGTGGGGTTGGACCAGAGTTGTGTGTGTGTGGTCAATGGTTCTTATTCACTTCTTGGTTGTCGAGTCCTCTGGTCCCTATGACCTGTGTGTGTGTGTGTGTGTGTCAGGTGGGACCAGGTGTGTGGTCCCTTGTCCCTATGCCCGGGCCACCTGCAGCATCTCTCCCACATCCAGCATCTTTTCCCTGGGCTTTCCCCTGGTCTCTCCCCTCCTCGTCTCCTCACTGTTGATCTTCTCCCAGTCAGAGAACGAAACTGGCTTCACTCCTACAGTCATGTACAGGGAGGTAGGTAGTTATAGTAAAATATCAAGGTGGACACTAACACTTGAGGTAGCTGATACTTATTCCTCAACATACCTAGTAAAAAATAAAGATAAACTGGGCTTCACTAAGTTTGTTTAATGCATGAATACAATTTTATGACGTTGCGCCCACACACCTCCTGTTCAAAGCATAGACCCATAACTGATTACTTCTACTACATTACAGTGAAAACACGTTATTATTATCCCTTCATCTTTACAGTCAGGCTTGGTTTATGGCGTCATAGTGACAGAGAAAGGTCAGTATGGAGTCAGCTAGATTACTATGGGCCTGAGGGGATTTCCAGCCGTCATGATTTGTTGGCCAATCCTGATGTAAATAGTACATGCAAGAAGTTAACACACAAATATAGCACTGCAGGCGGAGCACCGGTACACTGCTGTATTGCATTTACTATTCCACAGAAGAAGTTTCCTCACAGGAAAAATGTATTTATTTGAAGTGAATTGAATCAACACACACTGTGCTAAAGAGTTGCAGTACCTCTTTTCTCCAGGAGGACGGAGACCCCCTGTGAGCCAGGCTTGATGGTGGAGACATCCAGTGTTCCTTTGTCCATGTCCTGTAGCAGAGTCCTGGCTGTGTCAAAGCTGTCGTTCATGGTGGTGGCTATCACCCCTGTGGGACCCCTCTTCACCCAGCCACTACAGTACAAACCTGCCGACACACACACAGACGATAAAGGGGGAAAGTTCACTCCAAAATGAGTGTCCGATGGTTCTTTTCTCTCTCTGTCTCTGTCTCCGTCTCTCCTGTCTGAATTAAAAACAAAATAAAATACTTATATATATATACACTTTTGGGGGGGATATGGGGCCTATCTTTCCCATTGGCTTGTGGTTGAGGCAGGCAGACGAACGCACCCATGCACGTGCACAAACCTGCAGTCTGCTGCACGCGGCCCATGGTGTTGGGGATGATGGCTTTTCGGGCGTCGAAGGGGACGGCGGGGTCGATGGGAAGGCTCTTGTAGCCGATGCTGCTGATGACTAGGCCGCACTCCACATCCTCCACCTCACCTGTGGCCACTGCCCACACACCCTCACCGTCGCCCTGGGGAGAGACAGAGAGGCCAGGGCCAGCTTAGCCTAAGCCCTCTGTTCATGCTTTAGACAACATGGCCTTGTCTTCTGTTTAATTAAAAAGGTTTTATTGGGTTTATCTGGGAAGATAAGGACAACCAATTACGACAGAGGTAAGAGGGTAACCTCAAGAGATGATCCTATATCTATTCCTAAAGCACCTGGCTCACCTCTAGCCGGTTGACAGCCAATCGTATCCCTGCGGCCCTGATGAGGTCAGTGGAGGGGAGGACCTCCAGGGGCCTCCGGAGGAAGCGGAATCCCCAGGCCCGCTCTGCCCTGTTACGTCTCTCTAGCTCCTCCTCCCCTGGAGTCTCTACTGCAGCCTTCAGCAGCAGCTCTGTCAGACGCTTCCTTGGCCTGGCCAGCGCTGAGAGGACATACAGTGGGGGAAAAAAGTATTTAGTCAGCCACCAATTGTGCAAGTTCTCCCACTTAAAAAGATGAGAGAGGCCTGTAATTTTCATCATAGGTACACATCAACTATGACAGACAAATTGAGATTTTTTTTCTCCAGAAAATCACATTGTAGGATTTTTTATGAATATATTTGCAAATTATGGTGGAAAATAAGTATTTGGTCACCTACAAACAAGCAAGATTTCTGTCTCTCACAGACCTGTAACTTCTTCTTTAAGAGGCTCCTCTGTCCTCCACTCGTTACCTGTATTAATGGCACCTGTTTGAACTTGTTATCAGTATAAAAGACACCTGTCCACAACCTCAAACAGTCACACTCCAAACTCCACTATGGCCAAGACCAAAGAGCTGTCAAAGGACACCAGAAACAAAATTGTAGACCTGCACCAGGCTGGGAAGACTGAATCTGCAATAGGTAAGCAGCTTGGTTTGAAGAAATCAACTGTGGAAGCAATTATTAGGAAATGGAAGACATACAAGACCACTGATAATCTCCCTCGATCTGGGGCTCCACGCAAGATCTCACCCCGTTGGGTCAAAATGATCACAAGAACCGTGAGCAAAAATCCCAGAACCACACGGGGGGTACCTAGTGAATGACCTGCAGAGAGCTGGGACCAAAGTAACAAAGCCTACCATCAGTAACACACTACGCCGCCAGGGACTCAAATCCTGCAGTGCCAGACGTGTCCCCCTGCTTAAGCCAGTACATGTCCAGGCCCGTCTGAAGTTTGCTAGAGTGCATTGGGATGATCCAGAAGAGGATTGGGAGAATGTCATATGGTCAGATGAAACCAAAATAGAACTTTTTGGTAAAAACTCAACTCGTCGTGTTTGGAGGACAAAGAATGCTGAGTTGCATCCAAAGAACACCATACCTACTGTGAAGCATGGGGGTGGAAACATCATGCTTTGGGGCTGTTTTTCTGCAAAGGGACCAGGACGACTGATCTGTGTAAAGGAAAGAATGAATGGGGCCATGTATCGTGAGATTTTGAGTGAAAACCTCCTTCCATCAGCAAGGGCATTGAAGATGAAACGTGGCTGGGTCTTTCAGCATGACAATGATCCCAAACACACCGCCCGGGCAACGAAGGAGTGGCTTCGTAAGAAGCATTTCAAGGTCCTGGAGTGGCCTAGCCAGTCTCCAGATCTCAACCCCATAGAAAATCTTTGGAGGGAGTTGAAAGTCCGTGTTGCCCAGCAACAGCCCCAAAACATCACTGCTCTAGAGGAGATCTGCATGGAGGAATGGGCCAAAATACCAGCAACAGTGTGTGAAAACCTTGTGAAGACTTACAAAAAATGTTTGACCTGTGTCATTACCAACAAAGGATATATAACAAAGTATTGAGAAACTTTTGTTATTGACCAAATACTTATTTTCCACCATAATTTGCAAATAAATTCATTAAAAATCCTACAATGTGATTTTCTGGATTTTTCTTTCTCATGTTGTTTGTCATAGTTGACGTGTACCTACGATGAAAATTACAGGCCTCTCTCATCTTTTTAAGTGGGATAACTTGCACAATTGGTGGCTGACTAAATACTTTTTTTCCACACTGTACACACACACAACTTTGGGGGGGGTATGGCAACGGGGGGATATGGCCCTCCATTTGGCAAATCTGACCATAATTCTATCCTCCTGATTTGCTTACAAGCAAAAACTAAAGCAGGAAGTACCAGTGACTCGCTCAATATGGAAGTGGTCAGATGACACGAATGCTATGCTTCAGGACTGTTTTGCTAGCACAGACTAGAATATATTCCGATATTCATCCAATGGCATTGAGGAGTATACCACCTCAGTCACCGGCTTCATCAATAAGTGCATCGACAACGTCGTCCCCACAGTGACCGTACGTACATATCCCAACCAGAAGCCATGGATTACAGGCAACATCCGCATCGAGCTAAAGGCTACAGCTGCCGCTTTCAAGGAGCGGGACACTAATCCGGACACTTATAACAAATCCCGTTATGCCCTCAGACGAACCATCAAACTGGCAAAGCGTCAATACAGGGCTAAGATTGAATCCTACTACACCGGCTCTGACGCTCATCAGATGTGGCAGGGCTTGCAAACTATTACGGACTACAAAGAGAAACCCAGCCGCGAGCTGCCCAGTGACATGAGCCTACCAGAAGAGCTACATGCCTATTATGCTCGCTTCGAGGCAAGCAACACTGAAGCATGCATGAAAGCACCAGCTGTTCCGGACGACTGTGTGATCACGCTCTCCGTAGCCAATGTGAGCAAGACCTTTAAACAGGTCAACATTCACAAGGCTGCGGGGCCAGACGGATTTCCAGGACGTGTACTCAGAGCATGCGCGGACCAAATGGCAAGTGTCTTCACTAACATTTTCAACCTCTCCCTGACCGAGTTTATAATAACTAAAGTTGAAGTCGGAAGTTTACATACACTTAGGTTGGTGTCATTAAAACTTGTTTTTCAACCACTCCACAAATGTCTTGTTAACAAACTATAGTTTTGGCAAGTCGGTTAGGACATCTACTTTGTGCATGACACAAGTAATTGTTTACAGACAGATTATTTCACTGTATCACAATTCCAGTAGGTCAGACGTTTATATACATTAAGTTGACTGTGTCTTTAAACAGCTTGGAAAATTCCAGAAAATGATGTCATGGCTTTAGAAGCTTCTGATAGGCTAATTGGCATAATTTTAGTCAATTGGAGGTGTACCTGTGGATGTATTTCAAGGCCTACCTTCAAACTCAGTACCTCTTTGCTTGACACCATGGGAAAATCTAAAGAAATCCTCCAAGACCTCAGGAAAAAAAAACGTGTAGACCTCCACAAGTCTGGTTCATCCTTGGGGGCAATTTCCAAATGCCTGAAGGTACCACATTCATCTGTACAAACAATAGTATGCATGTATAAACACCATAGGACCACGCTGCCGTCATACCGCTCAGGAAGGAGACGCGTTCTTTCTCCTAGAGATGAACATACTTTGGTGCGAAAAGTGCAAATCAATCCCAGAACAACAGCAAAGGACCTTGTGAAGATGCTGGAGGAAACAGGTACAAAAGTATCTATATCCACAGTAAAACAAGTCCTATATCGACATAACCTGAAAGGCCACTCAGCAAGGAAGAAGCCACTGCTCCAAAACCGCCATTAAAAAAGCCAGACTACGGTTTGCAACTGCACATGGGGACAAAGATCGTACTTTTTGGAGAAATGTCCTCTGGTCTGATGAAACAAAAATAGAACTGTTTGGCCATAATGACCATTGTTATGTTTGGATGAAAAAGGGGGGTCTTGCAAGCCGAAGAACACCATCCCAACCATGAAGCACGGGGGTGGCAGCATCATGCTGTGGGGGTGATTTGCTGCAGGAGGGACTGGTGCACTTCACAAAATAGATGGCATCATGAGGAAGGAAAATTATGTGGATATATTGAAGCAACATCTCAAGACATCAGTCAGGAAGTTAAAGCTTGGTCGCAAATGGGTCTTCCAAATGGACAATGACCCCAAGCATACTTCCAAAGTTGTGGCAAAATGGCTTAAGGACAACAAAGTCAAGGTATTGGAGTGGCCATCACAAAGCCCTGACCTCAATCGTATAGAAAATGTGTGGGAAGAACTGAAAAAGCATGTGCGAGCAAGGAGGCATACAAACCTAACTCAGTTACACCAGCTCTGTCAGGAGGAATGGCCCAAAATTCACCCAACTTATTGTGGGAAGCTTGTGGAAGGCTACCCGAAACATTTGACCCAAGTTAAACAATTTAAAGGCAATGCTACCAAATACTAATTGAGTGTATGTAAACTTCTGACCCACTGGGAATGTGATGAAAGAAATAAAAGCTGAAATAAATCATTCTCTCTACTATTATTCTGACATTTCACATTCTTAAAATAAAGTGGTGATCCTAACAGACCTAAGACAGGGAGTTTTTACTAGGATTAAATGTCAGGAATTGTGAAAAACTGAGTTTAAATGTATTTGGCTAAGGTATATGTAAACTTCCGACTTCAACTGTATATGTTTCAAGCAGACCACCATAGTCCCTGTGCCCAAGAAAGCGAAGGTAACCTGCCTAAATGACTACCGCCCCGTAGCACTCACGTCGGTAGCCATGAAGTGCTTTGAAAGGCTGGTCATGGCTCACATCAACACCATCATCCTGGAAAACCTAGACCAACTCCAATTCGCATACCGCCCCAACAGATCCACAGATGACGCAAACTCAATCGCACTCCACACTGCATTTCCCACCTGGACAAAAGGAACACCTATGTGAGAATGCTGTTCATTGACTACAGCTCAGCGTTCAACGACAGTGCCCACAAAGCTCATCACTAAGCTAAGGACCCTGGGACTAAACACCTCCCTCTGCAACTGGATCCTGGACTTCCTGACCGGCCGCCCCCAGGTGGTAAGGATAGGCAACAACACATCTGCCACGCTGATCCTCAACACGGGGGCCCCTCAGGGGTGCGTGCTTAGTCCCCTCCTGTACTCCCTGTTCACCCACGACTGCGTGGCCAAGCACGACTCCAACACCATCATTAAGTTTGCTGACGACACAACAGTGGTAGGCCTGATCACCGACAACAATGAGACAGCCTATAGGGAAGAGGTCAGAGACCTGGCAGTGTGGTGCCAGGACAACAACCTCTCCCTCAATGTGAGCAAGACATAGGAGCTGATCGTGGACTACAGGAAAAGGAGGGGCGAACAGGCCCCCATTAACATCGATGGGGCTGTAGTGGAGAGTGTTGAGAGTTTCAAGTTCCTTGGTGTCCACATCACCAACGAACTATCATGATCCAAACACACCAAGACAGTTGTGAAGAGGGCACGAAAACAACTTTTCCCCCTCAGGAAATTGAAAAGATTTGGCATGGGTCCCCAGATCCTCAAAAGGTTCTACAGCTGCACCATCGAGAGCATCCTGACCGGATGCATCACCGCCTGGTATGGCAACTGCTCGGCATCCGACCGTAAGGCGCTACAGAGGGTAGTGCGTACGGCCCAGTACATCACTGGGGCCAAGCTTCCTGCCATTCAAGACCTACAGTGAGGGAAAAAAGTATTTGATCCCCTGCTGATTTTGTATGTTTGCCCACTGACAAAGACATGATCAGTCTATAATTTTAATGGTAGGTTTAATTGAACAGTGAGAGAGAATAACAACAAAAAATCCAGAAAAACCCATATCAAAAATGTTATCAATTGATTTGCATTTTAATGAGGGAAATAAGTATTTGACCCCTCTGCAAAACATGACTTAGTACTTGGTGGCAAAACCCTTGTTGGCAATCACAGAGGTCAGACATTTCTTGTAGTTGGCCACCAGGTTTGCACACATCTCAGGAGGGATTTTGTCCCACTCCTCTTTGCAGATCTTCGCCAAGTCATTAAGGTTTCGAGGCTGACGTTTGGCAACTCAAACCTTCAGCTCCCTCCACAGATTTTCTATGGGATTAAGGTCTGGAGACTGGCTAGGCCACTCCAGGACCTTAATGTGCTTCTTCTTGAGCCACTCCTTTGTTGCCTTGGCCGTGTGTTTTGGGTCATTGTCATGCTGGAATACCCATCCACAACCCATTTTCAATGCCCTGGCTGAGGGAAGGAGGTTCTCACCCAAGATTTGATGGTACATGGCCCCATCCATCGTCCCTTTGATGCGGTGAAGTTGTCCTGTCCCTTTAGCAGAAAAACACCCCCAAAGCATAATGTTTCCACCTCCATGTTTGACGGTGGGGATGGTGTTCTTGGGGTCATAGGCAGCATTCCTCCTCCTCCAAACACGGCGAGTTGAGTTGATGCCAAAGAGCTCGATTTTGGTCTCATCTGACCACAACACTTTCACGCAGTTCTCCTCTGAATCATTCAGATGTTAATTGGCAAACTTCAGACGGGTCTGTATATGTGCTTTCTTGAGCAGGGGGACCTTGCGGGCGCTGCAGGATTTCAGTCCTTCACGGCGTAGTGTGTTACCAATTGTTTTCTTGGTGACTATGGTCCCAGCTGCCTTGAGATCATTGACAAGATCCTCCCGTGTAGTTCTGGGCTGATTCCTCACCGTTCTCATGATCATTGCAACTCCACAAGGTGAGATCTTGCATGGAGCTCCAGGCCGAGGGAGATTGACAGTTATTTTGTGTTTCTTCCATTTGCGAATAATCGCACCAACTGTTGTCACCTTCTCACCAAGCTGCTTGGCGATGGTCTTGTAGCCCATTCCAGCCTTGTGTAGGTCTACAATCTTTGCCCTGACATCCTTGGAGAGCTCTTTGGTCTTGGCCATGGTGGAGAGTTTGGAATCTGATTGATTGATTGCTTCTGTGGACAGGTGTCTTTTATACAGGTAACAAGCTGAGATTAGGAGCACTCCCTTTAAGAGTGTGCTCCTAATCTCAGCTTGTTACCTGTATAAAAGACACCTGGGAGCCAGAAATCTTTCTGACTGAGAGGGGGTCAATTACTTATTTCCCTCATTAAAATGCAAATCAATTTATAACATTTTTGACATGGGTTTTTCTGGATTTTTTTGTTGTTATTCTGTCTCTCACTGTTCAAATAAACCTACCATTAAAATTATAGACTGATAATTTCTTTGTCAGTGGGCAAACGTACAAAATCAGCAGGGGATCAAATACTTTTTTCCCTCACTGTATATACTAGGCGGTGTCAGAGGAAGGCCCAAAAAATTATCAAAGACTCCAGTCACCCAAGTCATAGACTGTTCTCTCTACTACCGCACGGCAAGCGGTACCGGAGCGCAAAGTCTAGGTTCAAAAGGCTCCTTAACTCTATTTCTTGAACTGCATTGTTGGTTAAGGGCTTGTAAGTAAGCATTTCACGGTAAGGTTGTATTCGGCGCATGTGACAAATAAAATTTGATTTGAATTTCGGTCAAATATAATAATAATAATAATAATAATAATAATAATAATAATAATAATAATATGCCATTTAGCAGACGCTTTTATCCAAAGTGACTTACAGTCATGGGTGCATACATTTTTGTGTATGGGTGGTCCCGGGGATCGAACCCACTACCCTGGCGTTACAAGCGCCGTGCTCTACCAGCACAGATAATAACTACACTGCCAAATATAAACAGGATGAACTGAAACTAGGAGGAAAGTATCAACACATCAACACTAAAGTTCACGCAGAAACACAAACAAGACAGCCCTCACACATAGGCATTTCCAGTAACACTTGGTTGACACTTTCAGGTACTTTCCGAGACACCAGCCCCTGCACGTCACATACGCCATATTTCAACTTTGTTTACATTTCTTTACTCCCTCCTGTTTACATGAAAAAATAATCTCTCAGGCTATCTATAAAGGCACCATGCCAATTATATATTCCCCATTATGTCATCCACTTAGAAGGGCGGCAGGTAGAATAGTGGTTTAGCACGTTGGGCCAGTAACCAAAAGATCGCTGACTAGGTGAAAAATCTGCGACGTGCAAGGTACGTAACCCTAATTGCTCCTGTAAATTGCTCTGCTAAATGACTAAAATGTAAATGTAAGATGAAAATCCATAGTCTTATCCTCAATGTGGTTAAGAAAATACTGTGAATATGTGACTGACAATAGAGTAAATAGTTCAGATTTCTGAAACGCCCTCACAAGACTGTGATAGCAGAGCGGACAGTCTAGATAAGAGACAGTTTATCATGGGGAACAGGTTTATGGGAAGGCAGAGAGAGAGAGTGATGCTGGTTTGAAGACAAGACATTTTATGATTATGTTAATCTGATTCTGTAACCATTAACTCTCTGGAAGATCTGGGTTATGGTAGAGCAGACATATGCTGGTCTGCAGAGTTCAGACATGATTGAGAGGGGGGAGTTTGGAGCATGTTCCTGGTCAGAAAGATAGATGGTAGCAATGGAGGGACAGGGTGGACTTAGGAAGGGGGAGGGGTATACAGATGCTGTTGAGGCCTGTGAAGGGCAGTGTGTGACATCACACTACTAAGGATAAAAGGTCAATAACAGAAGATTTTAATGAGAGAAACCTTAAGAGGAACTAAACAGTGGCGTCTCACCTTTCAGAGTCTCTGCTATGCCCTCAAACTCAGACGCCTCCATCTCTGGTCTGGTGCCAGGCAGGTTCAACATCTCTCTCAGCTCCTAGACACAACAACAAATAAACAACAACGAGTGTTTGCAAAAAATTATGTTGACTTAATTACATAATTTACAAGCACAGGTGATGGTTATGAACGAAACTCTTAACTCTTTTTAGGTTAGTTGTCTTAAGTTTTCGTCACAGTAGAAGAACAAATTATAAGTAGGAAAAGTTAAAGACAGGAGTGAGTATTGCTATTTCATTCTTCAATATCAGTGGCCAGTAAACAAGGAATGAATCTCTTAACTCCTGGTTAACCTATCCTATTTAAAATAATGAGAACAATAACATTAAGGTCACGTGTCGATTAGGCTTTATTGTAAGGTACAATCAGTTTGGGGAAATTAATTAGTTTTAATATTACTTCTGTAAAATAAAATGTTTCAGTTCAACCTTTGGCACAGTAACTAGTAACATAATTACCATCAGTTTCAAGAAGGCTTTACTCTAAAGTACAATGAGTTTCAAAAACGACTAAGGCATTTTTCATTGTATCTCCTGACCAATCACCCATATTGGTAACTCCTCAGTAGGAGCAGTCCTCCATAGGAATGAATGGAATTTTACAGTATTTCAATTAAATGTTTCAATGCCAAAATTACATGTATTTAAGTATTGTTTTTGTTGTAGTGGGGACAGTAATAAATTAGTAATCTCCAAAAAGTATACTTTAAGAAAAATGTTTTATGTTTTTAAATGTTTTGCTCACATGATATAATTTAAAAGTATGCATTAAGTTGTCTTTAATAGAATAAATGCGGAAAAAAACGAATGTAGACATTAATAAATGCATTTCTATAGCTTCCAAAATATTTGTTACAATGTTAGGGGATTGCCAAAATGGAGGGACGGGGCTTCAACACAGCGCCCCCCATCAGTCACCTAGTGTATATAAATAAATCATTGCCCCTGACCTGATCTGAGGGAAAGTTTATTTATCAAAATGTGGGGATGTTTAGACAGATAATAGGCTCAACCTTTGGCACGTATACTCACTCACATGGCAAACCGTCACAGTCAATTTTATGTTGTGAATGGAAACTGTCACACAATCTCTAACACAATCTAGAATCACACTACGCAAAAACCAACTATAGAGTAATAAGTACTCCCTGATTTACAGAACAATACAATTGCACTTGGAACTTTAAACCCTCATAAATATGACTTCATAATTTAACATTTGGACAATAAAAAAGACAATGTTAATAATAAAATGTGAGGTTATTAACTTGACATATGAACTTGCATCAACCTGTGTGCTCCCTATGTTCTGCAGGCCACCTGTAGGGGTCAGGGGTTAGGTGTCAGTGGTAAGAGCCTCACCTTGATAGTGCAGGCCACCTGTAGGGGTCCCCTGCGCCCCACAATGAGCACCCTGCGGACACTGCTCTCTGCCAGGGAGTCCAGGGCATGCTGGGTGATATCAGTCTTCTACATAGGAATGAGACAGAGAAGGGGTTACATGGAGACACCTGACACTAATTATATATCCAGAGATATGCAGATATGGATTGTTTTCTTTCTGTGGGCTTTAACATTGTATACACAATGGTTGGATTCAGGCTTTGACAAAGGGAGATCAGATACAGAATGTATTTGGGCAGATGCATGGCAGCAAATCTCTAGCCTGACTACCCATCCACATCGATCCGGCCAAACTAGCGTTTCTTCTCCACAATGAGGCTGGATTTGCTTTCCTCCATGACGTTCTCTAGAATGCAAACACATTCTGAGCGTTCCGTTTGGTCCCAGAAACCAATGGGTTGGCCCAGAGCCGGCCTACATGATGCTATCAACTTGATATTCTGATTGGTTAGATTTGTTAGATGATCCAATCGCTGATTAATTAGTTTTGTACAACGCCCCTCATTTTGAGGTCAACACAAACAACTTCTAGGATGGCAGTTTCCGACTGAATGTATGGAGCGATAGAGTAGCGGAATTTAATTCAGGATGAGTCATCAGGCAAGCATCTCACCTTCAGAATATCTACAGGAGATAGCAGTATCCTCGCAACATCCAGTGCCACGTTACCCTGCCCCATAATTACAGCCGTCTCACAGCTCAGATCTGGCCTCAGCTAGTAGGATGGAGAAAGAGAGACGGAGAGAGAAAGAGACCAAGATAGAGAGAGAGGCTGATTTATGTACAGTATATCACTGGAATTTGTGTAGAAGCCTGTGATTTAAAAGGAGGAGAACATACCTCTCTGTTTCTAGGCAGCCCATTGTACCAGCCGACAAAGTCTTTGGCAGAGTACACCCCAGCCAAGTCTTCCCCTGGTACACCCATAGTCCTGTTCCCCTCTGCTCCATAGCTCTACAGATAAACACACACACACATAAATACTCACACTTGAAGACACAAAACCAACACATGCAGTGATTTAGGACTACACTACCCAAAATGCAGTGTGTTGTTAGGGTGTAGCATAGAATTAGTATACTAATTTAATAGGATCTCTATGGGGTGTAGTCTCACCAGCACCACAGCGTGGTAGGCTTCCTGAAGCTCCTCCACAGTGACGTCCTTCCCCACTGTAACATTGCCGTGGAAACTACACCTGGCATGCTGTGCCGTCTGGGTGAAGGTGTTGATGACGTTCTGACATGAGAACAAGAAAAAAAAAGAGAGAGGAGAAGAAGAGAAGGAGAGAGAAAGAGAGAGGTGCCATGATTCAATAAATTATTCTTGACCTTATATAATTTTGTCTGCTTCTGTCTGGATATAATTTAATCAATCAATAAATCAATCTATACTAACCTTGACCTCTGGATGGTCGGGGGCCACTCCAAATCTGACCAGGCCGAAGGGGACGGGTAGCCGCTCGTAGATGTCCACCTGAACATCTGTCCGAGTCTTTGACACAGACACACAATAAAGTCTTGCTTACCTTTATGAACCAAACATATGTTGACACTGTAGCTACTACTTTAGTTTCGATGCATGCAGGGCTATATTTGACCTCACAGCATTACTGAGCAACACTGTTGGGTAGTGTCAGACTTTTCTTGCAAAACAGTAGGCTTTTATTTTAAATCCGGGCTTCGTGTGCATGTGCAGGAAATGTATTCATGCTATTTAACAACCGTGGATCACAAATAATGCTATCTTTACACATGGGACATTTTACAAGTAGCAGCCAGTCGCTATATATGTACCACTATACCAATGAGAGCTATTGATAGAGTAATCAACAATGGATGACGTCACTTCCTGGTTTACGAGCAGGCCTCGGTAGTTGCCTGTAAGAATATGTTCCAGGCAAATTAGGCGATTGTCCACATACAATTTCTCAGATGATCTCCTAATATCGGCAAGTATGGGTAAATCGATTTTAATTCTATCACTTTTTGACAGCATCACTTTAATATGAATGAAACCATCCATACATATTTGCCCATTGCAGAAGTGCTCAGAAAGTGACTTTTTGAACCTGAATGCCAAAACATTCAAGAGATTGTTGACCTATTTAGCTTACCCCACCATACCATGAGACATCCATGTCATCACTGGAAAAGATAAACAGTTGAGATTTATATAATTTAAAAGCTTACAAACAGGGCTGTCAAGCTATTGTATACAATTTTACTTTTTTTTTTACCTTCAATGTTAATTAGCTAAAAACGCCTCAACTCAGACTTCTGCATCATACCATTGGATTTGTCTATTTCTTCTGCATCCGTAGATACCAACCGTGTGATTAACGGGGGCTGAGCTAGAGTGGTGCTCACACGCTACACAAAAGTCATTCAAAGTTAAGGGGATCTTCTACATAAAAGATCATAGAAAATCTCAGAACAATTGTCACTGACTAGTTGGATATTCATTTCCCAGTGAGCAAACAATTTCTGTAGTTTTTTGTACTTACAGCGTTCATTTAAATTCATTTTTATCAGGTTTGTACTTTGGCTGACTTTATTTATTATTATTGATATTTGTCATAAAAACTCATGAATGCAACTGTTTATGTCAAATTGGTTTGTGTTCTACTTGTAGCCCTGGTTGTCCTGAAAATAAAATGGTAAAACACTGCATTGTGATGGTAAATATAAGGTCTGGACATGCAGATAAATGAAAGCCAATTTTTGCTGGGGTCTCAGGACTGATAGGGTTAAATGATACTGTCAACCCTTCATAGCAAACCTATTGAAATCATAGAAATATGGATAATAGAATAGACATGACCATTTAAGTTGACATTCAACGATAGGTGGACCGGCAGCCATCTTTGTGGTAGTAATTAGAAGTTAACATTTCAATTACATTTAAATGTCAATGGTGTACCTGGTAAATTGCTGTGGTCTGAAGGGATAGGTCCATTCTATGAATTATATTTACAGTGGCTTGTGAAAGTATTCACCCCCCTTGGCATTTTTCCTATTTTGTTGCCTTACAACCTGGAATTAAAATTGATTTTTGGGGGGGTTTGTATCATTTGATTTACACAACATGCCTACCACTTTGAAGATGCTAAATATTTTTTGGGGGTGAAACAAACAAGAAATAAGACAAAAAATACAGAAAACTTGAGCGCGCATAACAGTGTACAGTAAGTGTATATTTTGCATTTGTAAAATATTTGTATGTGATATGAAAGTATGGGGCTTTATGTTTCTAGAACCGTATCGCAATTGAGAATCGATTCACGTTTAGATGGAGTATTTGACTGCCAGAGCCAGTCTACCTTTGAAAATAACATATAAGGTCCTTGGACCTTAAGGAGTAATGGTAGGCTCCTTAAAGAATGAAACACACCGAGAATCTCAATGCCGATAGGTACTTATCACAGTGGGAGGCCGTTCCTTCTCTTGCCCAGTAGCGACGGACCTACCGATTCTACTTGTAGAATGCAATGCTCGTGGCTAACAACTTCACTTTGAGCCAATCAGAGAGCACGAAGCCCCATGTGGGGGAGCCAACAAAAAAAAAAAAGGAAGAAAGACGGTATTTTCTCCATACATCCACATTTTACATTTAAATGTTTTGTCATTTAGCAGACACTCTTACCAGAGCGACTTACAGTTAGTGAGTGCATACATGTTTCATACTGGTCCACCGTGGGAATCGAACCCACAACCCTGGCGTTGCAAGCGCCATGCTCTACCAACTGAGCTACAGGAGGCCCATATGAGCCAGTTACACTTCATATGCAATGTAGACTATGGGATGGTAGCTAGCTAAGTGCACAGACACAATGCATACAACACTAAATACTTCCTCCAAGCTAGCTAAACACTGTAGATAGTGTTGACATTATAATTAAATCACAATGGATTAGCTAGTTTCCATGAAACAGCTGCCTGGGTAAGCTGCAGAGTTAGTGTAGTGTCCTTGGCTAGCTAGCTAGCTATGTTGTGCTAGCGAATATGCTAACGTTAGCTAGCTAGCTAAACATTTGGCTATGGGCTGGCAGTATGGGATTATGTAGAGTGAATTAAATTGTTTCTTCGTTATCTTCCTAGGTAGTCGTCTAGCTGTGGCCATCTGGCTAGTATCAACAAGGGCTTTCTACAAAATAGCAACATTAGCGCAGATAGCTTGAAATCTACACCATAAGCAATACACACGGATATGCATTGCCAAACAAAGCTACTGCCACCTTCTGGTTTGGAGTATTTCAAAACAGGCTGAGTGGCTGACGACTTCCAAGGTCTTTGCTGTGTGACCACAAAAGAGATTGACTGCCAACACTCTGTTCAGAGGTGCTAAGTACTGTCGGCAGGCAAAAGTTTGACAATCTTACCGTTGTGTCTGAGCTTTAAGAGTAAATCTTGGGCTATGGTTAAGGTAAGGGTTAGGTTTAAAATCAGATTTTATGAAGATACATTGTAGAAATTGTGGTTTAGCCATAATTTTGACTTTGTGGCTGTGGTAACTAGTGACGACCAGCAACAAGGGACAATAAATGTGTTTATAGGACAAACTGCCACATTCTCGGCTATGTAAACAATACAGAGCTGTAGCACAACAAAGGCCTGGGTCTGGTGGATTACTGTGGGTGGGAACTGGGGAAACTCTGGATGTAAAGTACACATTGGCTGCGGTCCCTTTTATCGTGTCCCAAGATGGCGTAGCAGTGCGGTCGTGTTCTCGTGTGTCCATGTAAATTTCCAGTTTTTTTGTATTTTTTTGTATTTTACGTATATATTTCCCTATCACACTTTCATCCTTCTACTAAATATACTTTCCTGCAACCCGCCTCACTCAATGTGGAACGGATTCTATTATTTACTCACCTTTATCTAGAATCTCCAGTTTAAACTAGCCAGCCAGCTAACTAGCTACTTGCTATTAGCCACCATTAGCGGTTTTCACCCAGAACATCGGATTTTCTGCCAGAATTACTGAATCACTGGACATTAACACTGGATCGCAACTAGCTAGCCGCATACGAATGGATGTCGAATGGATGTTGCTGTAGGCTAATCACCACTGCCCCCGAAGCAAGCACCAGTTAGCCTTGAGCAGGCCCATATCCCGGCTATCTACCATCTACCTCTCTGTCTACCGGACGGGAGTAGCCAGCTAACCAGCTAACTAGCTACTTGCTATTAGCCACCGTTAGCGGTTTTTCACCATTGTCCGTGGCCTGCACTACCTACCAGCCAGCTCTATCCTGGACTATTATCGGCCAGTCTGCACTGTCTGCACAGCGCGTTATCGACCCAGAACATATCGGTTTTTCTGCCGGGATCACTGAATCACTGGACCTTTAACACTGGATAATCGCAACTAGCTAGCTGCAACCAAATGAACGTTGTTGTTGGCTAATCTGCCTTGAGCTAGCCTTGAGTCAGGCACATCTCCCGGCTATATACCTCTCTGTCAACCGGACAGGACCTCCTAGAGTCGACACGGAGCCCATGCCGATCCATCACGACTGGTCTGCCGACGTACTCGTCTGTGGTTTCAACAGGTTTCCCGTTGCGACGACCACGAAGATCCATCTGCTAGCCCCGGCCCGCTAGCACAAAGCAAACAACAACCGTGCTTCCTGCTCGCTGTGCTGTAACACCAATTCGAACTGCTCTCAGACTCACATATTGCTGTTCACTGGACCTTATGATCACTCAGCTGCACAGCTGATGCCTGCTGGACTGTTCCTTTACACGGTACCCTGTCCTGTCTATCTGTTTAGCCTCAGCCCAAACATTATCGCCATTACCAGTTGTTGTCTTAGCTCTCTCTAATAACACCTGTGATTGCTTTATGCCTCTCTCCCAAGTCAATATGCCTTGCCTATTGCTGTTCCAGTTAGTTCTTATTATACAATTTCACTGTAGAACCCCTAGTCCCTCTCAAACTGCCTCAAATAGTTCCTTTGTTCCACCCCCCCATACAAGCCGAGACCGGCTCAATCGGTGCCTCCATTGATGCAATCTCTTTCATTGTTACCCAACGCTTAGGTTTACCTCCACTGTACTCATATCCTTCCATATCATTGTCTGTACATAATGCCCTGAATCTTTTCAACAACGCCCGGAAATCTGCCCCCTTTATTCCCTGTACCCAACGCACTAGAAGACCAGTTCTTAAAGCCTTTAGCCATATCCTTATTCTAGTCCTCCTCTGTTCCTCTGGTGATGTAGAGGCTAACCCAGGCCCTGCAGCCCCCAGTATCACTACTTACTCCCCAGGAGTTATCATTTGTTGACTTCTGTAACCGTAAACTCCTTGGTTTTCTGAACGTTAACATCAGAAGCCTCCTTCCTAAGTTTGAGTTATTCACTGCGTTAGCACACTCTGCCAACCCTGATGTTCTAGCAGTGTCTGAATCCTGGCTTAGGAAGGCCACCAAAAATTCTGAAATTTCCATCCCCAACTACAACATTTTCCGTCTAGATAGAACTAACAAAGGGGGTGGAGTTGCAATCTACTGTAGAGATAGCCTGCAGAGCTCTATCATACTATCCAGGTCTGTGCCCAAACAGTTTGAGCTTCTACTTCTAAAAATCCACCTTTTCAGAAATAAGTCTCTCACTGTTGCCGCTTGCTACAGACCCCCCTCAGCCCCCAGCTGTGCCCTGGACACCATATGTGAATTGATTGCCCCCCATTTATCCTCAGAGTTCGTACTGCTTGGTGATCTAAATTGGGATATGCTTAACACCCCGGCCATCCTACAATCCAAACTAGATGCCCTCAATCTCACACAAATTATCAACGAACCTACCAGGTACAACCCTAAATCCGTAAACATGGGCACCCTCATATATATCATCCTGACTAACTTACCCTCTAAATACACCTTCGCTGTCTTAAACCAGGATCTCAGCGATCACTGCCTTATTGCCTGCGTCCGTAACGGGTCCGCGGTCAAACGACCACCCCTCATCACTGTCAAACGCTCCCTAAAACACTTTAGCGAGCAGGCCTTCCTAATTGACCTGGCCCAGGTATCCTGGATGGATATCGATCTCATTCCGTCAGCAGAGGATGCCTGGTTGTTCTTTAAAAGTAATTTCCTCTCAATCTTAAATAAACATGCCCCATTCAAAAAATACAGAACTAAGAACAGATATAGCCCCTGGTTCTCCTCAGACTTGACTGCCCTTGACCAGCACAAAAACATCCCCTGGCGTAAAGCATTAGCATCGAAGGGGAAGTTAGGAACTAATATACACAAGCAGTTAGGAAAGCAAAGGCTAGCTTTTTCAAACAGAAATTTGCATCCTGTAGCACTAACTCCAAAAAGTTTTGGGACACTGTAAAGTCCATGGAGAATAAGAGCACCTCCTCCCAGCTGCCCACTGCACTGAGTCTAGGAAACACTATCACCACCGATAAATCTACAATAATCGAGAATTTCAACAAGCATTTTGCTACAGCTGGCCATGCTTTCCACCTGGCTACCACAACCCCGGCCACCAGCTCTGCACCTTCCGATGCAACTTGCCCATGCCCCATACACCATTTTGTACACATCTGGCCCTTCATTGGAACACTGTGTTAACTAACCTCCAAACGAGCTTCAATGCCATACAACACTCCTTCAGTAGCCTCCAACTGCTCTTAAACACTAGTAAAACTTAATGCATGCTCTTCAATCGAACGCTGCTGGCACCCGCCCACCCGACTAGAATCACTACTCTCGAAGGGTCTGACCTAGAGTATGTGGACAACTACAAATACCTAGGTGTCTGGTTAGACTGTAAACTCTCCTTCCAGACTCACATTAAGCATCTCCAATCCAAAGTTAAATCTAGAATCTGCTTCCTATTTCGCAACAAAGCCTCCTTCACTCATGCTGCCAAACATGCCCTCGTAAAACTGACTATCCTACCGATCCTTGACTTCGGCGATGTCATTTACAAAATAGCCTCCAACACTCTACTCAGCAAATTGGATGTAGTCTATCACAGTGCCATCCGTTTTGTCACCAAAGCCCCATATACTACCCACCACTGTGACCTGTACGCTCTTGTTGGCTGGTCCTCACTACGTATTCGTCGCCAAACCCACTGGCTCCAGGCCATTTATAAATCACTGCTAGGCAAATCCCTGCCTTATCTTAGCTCATTGGTCACCATAGCAACACCCACCCGTAGTATGCGCTCCAGCAGGTATATCTCACTGGTCATCCCCAAAACCAACACCTCCTTTGGCCTCCATTCCTTCCAGTTCTCTGCTGCCAATGACTGGACGAATTGCAAAAATCTCTGAAGCTGGAGACTTATCTCCCTCACTAACTTTAAGCATCAGTTGTCAGAGCACCTTACCAATCACTGCACCTGTACACAGCCCATCTGAAATTAGCCCACCCAACTACCTCATCCCCATATTGTTATTAGTTTGCTCATTTGCACCCCAGTATCTCTATTTGCACATCATCTCTTGCACATCTATCATTCCAGTGTTAATACTAATTGTAATAATTTTGCACTATGGTCTATTTATTGCCATACCTCCATAACTTGCTACATTTGCACACACTGTATATATATTTTCTGGTGTATTTTTGACTTTATGTTTTGTTTTACCCCATATGTAACTCTGTGTTGTTGTTTTTATCGCACTGCTTTGCTTTATCTTGGCCAGTTCGCAGTTGTAAATGAGAACTTGTTCTCAACTGGCTTACCTGGTTAAATAAAGGTGAAATAAATAAATAAAATAAATCTAATCTCTACTGTTCCTAAAGTCTGCACTTGTTAACTTCCCCTAATGGAATGGACTCCCTAGTTTACACTTTGGGGAGAAGGGCAATCAATTGGAACAGGATTTTGGGAGGGAAAGCTCTGATCCAAGATTTGTGCCTAATGGAAGCATCTACCCGATGGTTCAAATCTTGGGGACAGTAGCACTGAGACATCACTCACCTTGACTAGGTGTTGTGCAGTGTAGAAGCCAGCTGGGCCGCCTCCCACTATGCACACCTTGGGGCTGGAGGCAGGTGTGGAGGTGGCAAGTCCACACACACCTGTATAGACACAGGCCAGAATGAGCAATGGCAACCCATGTATGAGGCTAACTCATTCTATGTCACGACATAGTCATTTTATCTGTCCATATAGGCTAGTGTCATACATATATTGTAAATTCCTGTTACTAAATCACTATTCTGTCTAGACGTGTCGTGTTACTCTAGGCTGGGTGAATTACTGCATGCACTTGGCGAGCAGTCCCTTGTTTGCCCCCCTCCCTTCTTACCATGGAATCGTGTGATCCTCACGCACCTTGCCGAAGTCAGAAACAACTTTAACATCTGGACCTTGCACAACGCCGCTTTATGAGTGCTCGTCTTCACAAATCATCAATCGTCCAGGAAATGTCTCTTTGGTAGACGGCTAGGGAGACTAGCTAGTAGCTTGGTCCAGACTGACCTTTGGTCCTAACGTTAAATGCGGAAGAGACAAGGCACTAGGACAGGAATGGTTTACGGGCGGGATTATCAATCACTTCATCTGGTCCGGCGGTGTGTGCTCTCCAATTGTCACACAATAATGAAAACACAATTAATCAGCTAATCGGTGTTAGTAACTACAAAACGCAGTCATTCGTTAAAAGTACATTTCCCCCCCTACTAGCTAGTTAACCATCCACAATGTAGTAGCTTCATGAGTGGGCTAGCCACAGTCCTGCAGGCGACCGGTGTGGGTAGGTTTGTTGACAGGATTAGAGCTAGCTACCTCGCTCAACTGGTTAGGTTTACGAAGCTTTAAAGCTAATGAATATGCGGTTAAATTAGCTAGCTAGCTATTCTGTAAAATGTGGCACTTGCCATGCATGAAAGCAGATTACATTTTAAAACATTAGTGGAAGACTTTCAAATGTCAAAAACGAACCGTTTATACTGTGTCCCGTCCAAAGCGTCTCGTCCTGAGAATATAGCTGCATACATAGTTCCGGGTAAAAAACTAACTGCACCTTGACAAGTGGCATTATAGAGATAATAATCTCTAAACCCAAGGTAATATTGGGTCAATGTCTTGGATTTATCAGGATTTGTCTCCCCAGGGTACACACAAACACACAGTTGCATAACAAGACCTTGCTGTTGAATTTCTGGCGCCCTTGAATGAATGCCACCGTGTTTTCTGTTGGTTTTCTACATAACACAAAATAGATTCAATAGCTACTGCACCATGTTTTATTTTGAAGACTAACTGAGTAAAACACAGTTTAAATGAATTACTATCTCCTCTCTTTCTGACACCATAATATATTCTAAGATTAGACATTGACTAGCCCTAGATATTGCCTCATCAAATTCCCCTGGAGAGTGCCAAATTCTCATAAACTCAATATCTGTTAACAGTGGCGATGTTAGCATGTAAATCTTGGTGGGGCAAACAAAACACATATTTTTTTAGAAGCATGCCAGCAAAGCCACTACACAACACAACACTAAACAATACATTAATTGCACTATAACAGTGACAAACGGTGCCCACAAACTGTTAGGGCCTACATAAAGCTGTCCCAATAGCAGAGCTTTCTTTTCAGCACCATGGAGTGAATCCTTACCACAGTTACACCTGGCTATCAGCGGAGCCTTGTCTGGCAGCGAAACAGTTCATTCAGCCTCATTTACTGCCTTTAAAAAAAAAATAGCTGATATGGCTGTCTTACTTAAACAAATGTGGTTTCTACTGACAATTGAGATGTACAAACTATGGTATAAGGGCAAAGATTAGTGGATAAGAGGCAATCTGTAATTTCGATTAAGATATTAATGAGCGAGCTAAGACGGACGTAGTCAATATGTATTTGTTCAGCACTTTTGAAATGTACAGCGACAGACTTCAGAACATGGGCTGTTCTTACAGTATTCTCCCTGTGCACCAAGTCAGAACCGTAGGATAAATAAAGGGGGCATATAAGCAGACAATGAAAGCTCTTACAATATTCGATGATGACATTTCTCTAAACAGGCTATAGGCTATATGTGCACCACCAAGTCAGAAGAATAGGCTAAGTTATGAGGGGGAAAGGGACCAAATTATTAGGGTGAGGCACATGCGCTACTAACGGCTTACTACACAACATACACTTAGTATTACTTTCTTAGCTACAGTATACATATCTCCCTGGCATATAACATTATTAATGCAGCGGCAAACAATACTTTTTTTGACTCACCTTGTTGTGCTGTGCTCACTTGAACAGGAAGGTGGCGCGGTGGTCCTTCTTGTGGGCAAATTTTGTCATCAAACGTTGTCATCAAAGTCTGGCATTCTCTGGATTTATGGTGCTTTTAAGACAACTGGGAACCCCCCCCCCCCCCAAAAAAAAAAAAAAAAAAAAGTTGATTCATGACGTCAGTGATCTTCAGGTCGGAGCTCTAGAAAGAGGCCCGAGTTCCCGACTTGGAATTCTGAGTTGGATGACCGTTTTCCCAGTCGGAGCTCTTTTTTTTCAGAGTTCCCAGTTGTCTTGAACTCACTGAAATCTGAGATTTCCCAGTTCCGAGTTTCCAGTTGTTTTGAACAACTGATGTCATGCTGGATTGACAGCATGGCCAATGTATTAAACCTTTTCTGGCCCATGGTGTGTTGTGAGTGAATGTTTATCCTTTTAAGCTTGGAAAAGAGACCCTTAAACCCAGACTTGGGACCACACACCCTCTCCACTGAATAGCAGGCTAGTGATTGCTTTGCAAAGCTTGCAGTTAGCCATTGATTCCTTCCAAACCACTCATTGTTGAATTTGCGATTTCCCAACTTGTTATGTAATGTTTATGTCCAATGGCCGATGAGCACCAATAAGTTATATCTTTAATTTATTTCTCTTCATATGACAAGGATTGAAAATGATTTGCCAGTAGATTGATGACAATCAAAGCTATAACGTGATTTGACGTCATTCTATCTGTGGCCAATGACCTTGAGCATTCTTGGATGGGCACTTCTAATGTAAATCTATGGCAGCACGCAAGGGGCTTGAATTTTCGAGCTCTCCCCATAGATTTTGCGGTGAGGTAGTGTCCCCATGAGTGACAGAACACTGAGCCAATCATGGCGCAACTAGAGAACATTACCAATCCTTACGCGCCGTATTTTCTGCTGGCTGCCTCACCACCACAGAAAGCACTGAGCTAGGCTGAAACACCTGCATTTTGGAGCTGCCTTACTCAAGAAAGCAAAAAGGAGACCCTGTTTATATGCAGCTTTATTAACTCATATATTATTTTTTTTACATTGTTTGCAAACTGATATGTGACACGTATTAATGCCAAAATAACATGCAAAACAGGCAACCAAAAAAATTATAATATACTAAACAGGTGGGGCTCAAATATACCCCGGCAATACAAAATACACATAGCTCAACCGCGCTACTCTCTCCTCACATTAAACAATCACCCACAAGGACAAGGGGGCAGAGGGAACACTTATACACGTACTAATGAGGGGATATGAACCAGGTGTGTGTAATAAACAAGACAAAACAAATGGAATGATGAGATGTGATGCGGCAGTGGCTAGAAGGCCGGTGACGACGAACGCCGAAGCCTGCCCGAACAAGGAGAGGAGGCAGCTTCGGAGGAAGTCGTGACATTGGTCACATTAGGACATGTCAGATGAAGAGTAGGATAATCAAACAGATTAGCCTACATTGTCAAAACACTTCATCTTTTAAATCTGCTGGATGTGCAAAAAATAAACAATTGACCTGTTCACACATTAGGCAGCCCACATCTGATCTGAAAAGCACGTCAGACATCAAACTGCAGGATGTGGTATGGTATGTGTCACTGAGTCACATAGAATGAGTCTTTCTGCTAACATAGACAATTCCATAACAATCGGAAGTGGAGACACAAAAGAAGAGAAACACAGACATTTCGTGAGAAAGATCTGATGAGAACAGTAGCTTACAATTGGCACAGAATTGCACGCTATTAATTGCACTGACATTTCTGTAAGATGCATTGAAGAGAAATGCACAACTACCAACTTTAGAAATGGCAGAACAATGCAAATGGCAAAAAATAAAATAATTATAATAAAAAATATGGATTGCACAATTTTACAATTGCTCAGACAGACGTCTGAAAATATATCTGAAATCTAGCCGAAAATGGTATTTAAAGAACATTCCATTAGTGAGAACAGACAGTAGGCCTAACTGCATAGACACTCTAAAGGTAAATTATTACATAAATTGCAGAATTACTTCTTCCAATTCCTTCAATGTTACAGTATTCCTCTAAAGTCGACCTTGTCTGGAGAGCTGCTTGAGAAGAAGTAGGCCTGGGCTGTGGACACATGCTGGTGTTGGTTATGGTGGTGTCTTCTATTGACCCTGGCTGGTGTGTAGTGCTTTTTGGTAAGTAGGAAAACATAGAGATGTTTAAATTCATATTCACACTTATCTTAGACTTCATCCAGAATGTTATGTATCTAAAGAGAGACTAAGTTATGAGGGGGGGGGACATTTTACAGTTTTAAAGCTAGTTTCCTGCAATTCTACACATTAATTTTGTCATGGGGCTGAGAGAAAATGTGCAGTTTCAAAGCTAATTTCCTGCAATTCTATACATTTTGCCATGGGACTGAGAGAATTTTCAGTTTTAAAGATAATTTCCTGCAATTATACAAATTTAGCCATGGCCTATGCCGTGTTCTTATGCTATCTGAAATGACTCAAACAAAATCAATGGGGGACCCATGCCATGACCTTTTTGGAATTTCAGATTCTCCCTGAGAATGGTGATTGTTAGTTCTCAAAGATGATCTTATTAAAAAATATATTGCTCCATTATGTTTTTTTACATAATTCATATTTCGTTTGAGTCATTTAACGTTACACTGAAAACGTTTTACCATTCCAAAAATTATTATAATTATTATTTGAATGTTTTTGCAGTGGCGGCCACAATTTATCAGTGGCAGTGCGCCATACTGCTAAACACATATAGGGGAAACACTGAGCATAATCATATTTTATTTATACTGGCTTACCCTTGTGCATCGCCACATCCAAGCTCCGATGAAGAGGATGAGGATGACGATGAAGGTCGTCCCACTCAGCACAATCAAGATGAGTTCCATGATGGTCTGACCGCCACCAAAGCACTCCTCTGGATCTCTCTCTGTATGGAGGGGAGAGGGAATTAGAAGAAGTGGTTCAGCTTCATGTCTTCCTGACAATCTCTGGGCCCCCAATATATTCCTTTGACTCTTGCCCAGAGTTTTTCCTGGCCTGGTCAACTGCTCAGGGAAAACTAATTCAAAAGAAATTCAAAGGAATATGGTGAGTCCACATTGCACATATCGGAACACAATATCTAACATCTTGTGCACTAATCATGATCATAGCTAGTACTAGCCACATTAAAACCACTTCCATCAGTTGAGGTTCAGACAATGTTTCATCAAAGGTTGACTCAAACCCTACAATACAAAGTTGTGGTATGTCATTGAAATCGCAGAGATTGATATTTTCACACCGCATCATAAAAAAGTGTGGAACAGACAGTTCTAGAACAATGATTGGATACCAATTCTTTGTTAATCCAGGAAGAGAAAGACAGTCTGAATGAAAAATGGAATTCACCCTAACCCTATTGAATAACATTTCTTCTTCTTTAATAAAAAAAAGTATGTTTGTACCTCTGACCATGATGATGGTGCCATTACTCTGCAGCTGTACCAGCACTTTCCTTTGGCTATCGTAGTACCTCCAGCTGCAGTAGTAACTGTCTGTGTCATCCACCCCAAGCTGGGACAGCCTCAGTGTGAACTCACAGCACCGCTTGACCTCCTGGTCCTGGTCTGACACCACTGTGACCCGACCTTTGAACCCATAGTGGGTGGTGATCCTACTGACTGCTCTGTCAGCCATCGACAAGTACAGTACATCTCTGTCACCGTGGAATCGACCCCTGAGGTAGAGGCCTGTGGGGTCGGGTAGCGATGTGGAGCAGTGGATCTCAGCTGAGAAGTTGACCTTCATCAGAGATACGGCACTGGGGCTCTGGGAAACTGGCAGGGAGAGAGATAGATAGACAGGGGCCCAGGTTTTAGACATTTTGTTATTATGAAGACAAGAATGCCACCTTGGTCCTCCTTGTTTTTAGTCTGAAGCTTTATTGTCCATTTAGGGTCAACTAAAAACTCACAATACCTGTCCAGGTGAGCACTGCAGGTGTGCAGAGGAGTCCCAGCACACATCTCCACAACAGGGCATCCATCCTGCCACCTGGGTACCAGCTGCATCGATTAGAGAGCTCCACACACTCTTCCACAAACGCAACACACTCACAACTGACTGGTGAACTGTCTTTCGGCAGGGTAAAATGAAGAAGAGCTGAATAAGAGGCTATGGGAGAGCTTCCTCTATTGTTTCGTGCACAGGAAGGGTTGTGGTTTTCATGTTTTTATTCTCTGATGACGGTTAGTGTGTGTGTGTGTGTGTGTGTGTGTGTGCTGTGATAACTGAAATGTACATTATTGTTGGAGATAATAATTCAGTACAAGACAACAAGCTCTATATGAGAGAAATAACATTATAAAGACTGGTTATTTCCAAAAGTTTATTTGTACACAAATCAATAACATTTTATATTCATAAAAAAATCCATGAATCCCAGAATATTACATCAGAGTTTAGGCTAAAACCAAAAACAAGCTTATCTTAGTGGTTATGAAAACAATGCTTGTGAGTTGAGCAGAATATTACAGAATATTACACACATCAATGTATAGATAGACCAAAACCAACTCCCTTTATAAACAAGCTTAGGAAGGGTTATGAAAAGGGTTCTACCTGGAACCAGAGTTATTCAAAGGGTTCTCCTATGGGGATGCCAAATAACCCTGTTAGGTTCCAGATAGCACCATTTTTTCTGTGAAAGACGATTATTAGTGATTTCACAAACTGATTCCATAAATGTTTGTGCAAAACTAATTTAGGTGCAAAAGTGAGTAGTGTTTTATTGGTATAGAATACATCTGACATACAGCAACATAGCAGGGGTGTCACAAGCCGGGCTAGAACTCCGGTCTCAGATGTGTAGAGCTGGGGGTACTACCCCTTAGCCACAGAGGAGATGTTGTAGGACCCAAATGAAACACCCAAGGCAATACTCCAGGCAAGTAGATTTAATGTTCCAAAACAGGAGGCAAAACAAAACAACTCCACGAGGGGAGAAAAACAAACTAAAGATAACTTCGAACAACTTACTAGGACTGACACGGTGGGACAAAGCAGGAGACACATAGTCAGGACGCAATAACCAAGTGAGAAACAAGGGGAAAACACACAGCTAAAATACTAAAGGGAAAACAAGGCACAGGTGACCTGGATCAAACTAATGAGGACACATGAGGAAGAACAAAGGCAGAGGGGAACACAGCTGACCTCTAGAGGCCAGGAGACAAACAGGAGAAGCAGGAAGCTGACAAGGGGCAACGTTGAGTTAATTTAGAAAAGAACCAACAAGCCAACTGGCTCACGCTGAATGTTATGCAGACACCAGGGTAAGGGCCTCTCTTGTACCTTCAGGGCTCTCATCAGTGTTGTTCCTGTTGCTCTGGGTCATATAACTCTTGAGTCGATCCATCAATCTTCTGCCAGAATGAGAAGTGATGAGAAACAATAGAACGGCCAGAACAGTGATGATGCTGATGATAACAACCAGGGCTAACCATACGGGAGCTTGTTGGGTGGGTTGGTTTCCCTCTTTTCTCGCTGAGAAAATAAAGAGAAGTTTGCTATGAACACACTGAATACTCACAAACGTCACAGTACAAAGCCCTATATGGAATTTAAATAGGAATATTGTATTATCACATTTAATTGTAATTATTACTAAAGCTTTTCCTGGTCATATCACATGACCGGGAAAAACTCAGGGCCCATTTAACCCTAGTCAATATAGACTGGTCACTGTCCGGTAAAGCACAGCATGTTTGAATTGGCACAGGAGTTGTTGATGAAGTGCTTTGTACTTTAGCATTGTACTCACCAGTAACTGCATCACTGAACCAGCTTGTTGTCCCTGAATTATCCCCACAGTTTGTGCCAATGGAAAAAGTGTAAATACCCTCATCAGCTTTGGTAGCACTTTTTTTCTCATAACAGTAGTGTTGGATGGTGTTGCTGTCAGTGTCTTCCCTAGTGTGTGGAGATGCTTCACATGTTTTCTTGTTACAGTTGTCTTGTTCACAACTCCGTAGTACAATATTTGAATTCTTCCATGTAAACCGTTCAGTAACACATGTTGGGTCATTTGCGGTCCCCTCCGTCCCTTGGTTGGGAGTTTGTATGGCAGTGTAATCCACTGTACATCTCAGTACCAGTTGCTGGTCCTCTGAAACCGATGGACTGTCACATGTTACTTTAACCCCTGGAAAACACAAAGGATATCAATGAATGAACGTGCAAGGATATCAATGAATAAAAGGATATCAATGGATAATATCAGTATGATAAACGTGCTCATATATATACAATTATAAAAGTGGACATTCACATGTTCATTATCATATATAACAATGCTGTATTATATCGTAATATTACAGTAATACCATTACAACAACATGATTTCACCTTATCAATTTATGAAGTTTGCAGTTTGAATTTACCTTGTCCTTGTGAATGGACACTAGGAGTTCCCAAATCCAGACACAGAAACAGCAGAAGCATGTTGCCAGTGAGTGTATCTGTCCTAAAGCACAAAGAAAAAAGACCACAAGACATGAATAGTTTAAACAGTACATGTACAGTGCCTTGTAAAAGTATTTATACCCCTTGGATTTCTTCACATGTTATTGTGTTACAAAGTGGGATTAAAATAGATTTAACTGTAAAACAAAATCCCAAAGTGGAAGAAAAATTATATATATATTTTTTAGATTAATAAAAATTAGATAACTAGAATATAGTCGTTGTACACAGTGGGGAAAAAAAGTATTTAGTCAGCCACCAATTGTGCAAGTTCTCCCACTTAAAAAGATGAGAGAGGCCTGTAATTTTCATCATAGGTACACGTCAATTATGACAGACAAAATGAGATTTTCTTTCTCCAGAAAATCACATTGTAGGATTTTTAATGAATTTATTTGCAAATTATGGTGGAAAATAAGTATTTGGTCAATAACAAAAGTTTCTCAATACTTTGTTATATACCCTTTGTTGGCAATGACACAGGTCAAACGTTTTCTGTAAGTCTTCACAAGGTTTTCACAAACTGTTGCTGGTATTTTGGCCCATTCCTCCATGCAGATCTCCTCTAGAGCAGTGATGTTTTGGGGCTGTTGCTGGGCAACACAGACTTTCAACTCCCTCCAAAGATTTTCTATGGGGTTGAGATCTGGAGACTGGCTAGGCCACTCCAGGACCTTGAAATGCTTCTTACGAAGCCACTCCTTCGTTGCCCGGGCGGTGTGTTTGGGATCATTGTCATGCTGAAAGACCCAGCCACGTTTCATCTTCAATGCCCTTACTGATGGAAGGAGGTTTTCACTCAAAATCTCACGATATATGGCCCCATTCATTCTTTCCTTTACACGGATCAGTCGTCCTGGTCCCTTTGCAGAAAAACAGCCCCAAAGCATGATGTTTCCACCCCCATGCTTCACAGTAGGTATGGTGTTCTTTGGATGCAACTCAGCATTCTTTGTCCTCCAAACACGACGAGTTGAGTTTTTACCAAAAAGTTCTATTTTGGTTTCATCTGACCATAGGATATTCTCCCAATCCTCTTCTGGATCATCCAAATGCACTCTAGCAAACTTCAGACGGGCCTGGACATGTACTGGCTTAGGCAGGGGGACATGTCTGGCACTGCAGGATTTGAGTCCCTGGCGGCGTAGTGTGTTACTGATGGTAGGCTTTGTTACTTTGGTCCCAGCTCTCTGCAGGTCATTCACTAGGTCCCCCCGTGTGGTTCTGGGATTTTTGCTCACCGTTCTTGTGATCATTTTGACCCCACGGGGTGAGATCTTGCGTGGAGCCCCAGATCGAGGGAGATTATCAGTGGTCTTGTATGTCTTCCATTTCCTAATAATTGCTCCCACAGTTGATTTCTTCAAACCAAGCTGCTTCCCTATTGCAGATTCAGTCTTCCCAGCCTGGTGCAGGTCTACAATTTTGTTTCTGGTGTCCTTTGACAGCTCTTTGGTCTTGGCCATAGTGGAGTTTGGAGTGTGACTGTTTGAGGTTGTGGACAGGTGTCTTTTATACTGATAACAAGTTCAAACAGGTGCCATTAATACAGGTAACGAGTGGAGGACAGAGGAGCCTCTTAAAGAAGAAGTTACAGGTCTGTGAGAGACAGAAATCTTGCTTGTTTGTAGGTGACCAAATACTTATTTTCCACCATAATTTGGAAATAAATTCATAAAAAATCCTACAATGTGATTTTCTGGATTTTCTTTTCTCAATTTGTCTGTCATAGTTGACGTGTACCTATGATGAAAATGACAGGCCTCTCTCATCTTTTTAAGTGGGAGAACATGCACAATTGGTGGCTGACTAAATACTTTTTTTCCCCACTGTAAGTATTCAACACCTTTTTTTAGGCAAGCCTAAATTAGTTCAGGACTACAATTTTGTTTAACAAATCAAACAATAAGTTACATGGTCTCACTCTGTGTGAAATAATAGGGGTTAACATGATTTTTTAAATGTAATGACTAACCTTTCCTCTGTCCCCCATACATACAGTACAACATCTGTAAGGTCCCTCAGTCAAGTAGTCAAGTATTGCATTTCCAGCACAGATTCAACTACAAAGACCAGGGAGCTTTTAGAAAGCCTCATAAAGAAAGGCAGTGATTGGGAGCGTAGATGGGTAACAATAACAAATCAGAAATTGAATATCTCTTTAAGCATGGTCAAGTTAATAATTATGCTGTGGAATATGTATTAAACCACCCAGACAGATCAAATATACAGTTTTCCTTCTGAACTGAGCTGCAGGACAAGAATGAAACTGCTCAGGGATGTTTCCATGAGGCCATCTGTGATATTAATACAGTTACAGAGTTCAATGGCTGTGGAATTCACTTTTTGGCCTATACGCAAAGTCTTATGTTTGGGGAAAATCTAACACAACACATCACTGAGTAACTACCTCCTTATTTTCAAGCATGGTGGTGGCTGCATCATGGAATTGGCAAATACTGGGGAGTTTTTCAGGATAAGAAAATGGGGTGGAGCTAAGCACAGGCAAAATCATAGAGGAAACCCTGCTTCAGTTTGCTTTACAGCAGACACTGGGAGAGGAATTCACCTTTCAACAGGACATTAACCTACAACACAAGGCCAAGTCTACACTGGAGTT